AGTCATTTTCTTGGTGATTATCTTGTGGTTGATAATTAACATCTTAAAACAATCTAGTTTGGACTAATTCTTCATGTTAATTCTCTCTGCCTACCTCCTTTGTGTTATGTCTCATATACAAGCCCATCACCACAGTTTGTAATTGATGTTTTATTCAGTTGTCTTTTAATCAGATAAGAGAAGTGCTGCAAAAAAAAAAAAAAAAAAAAAAAAAAAAAATTGGGGTATACCAAGCTTGGTGGTGCATGCTGTGAGCTAGCTGGAGCTACAGGGAGACCCTGTCTCCGAAAGAAGAAAAATGTATGATGCCTTCCTTATATTTACCACTGTAGTTATCTTTACAAGACTCATTTATTTTTCTGTGTAGATGTGAGTTACTATGAGTCCTTCAATTTCAACCTAAAAAGCTTGCTTTTGTTTTCCTTGGTAGATCTGCTTGTGACGGACTCTCTTTTGTTATGCTGCTCATTCTTCTGCATATTTAAATGCTTGTAAACTCTTCCAGTGAAGGATTCTTTTATTTCATTTATTGTTCCTTTCAATTTCAATTCCAGAGTTGCTATGGTTCTCCAGTTTGTTTTTGCTTTTGTTTTATTGCTATTCTGTGGTAAGGCATCGTTCTTATACTTTCCAATAACTTTGTAAACATGATTTCCTTTGGTTCTTGAATGTTAAAATAGCTTGTCTAAAGCCAGGCATGGTAGCACACGCCTTTAGTCCCAGCACTTGGGAGGCAGAGGCAAGCAGATCTCTGAGATTGAGGCCAGCGGCTATAGGGAGACCCTGTCTCAAAAAGACAAAAAAAAAAATACCTTATTTAAGGCATTGTCTTTTAAGTCCAACAGCTCATCCTCTACTGGGTTGGTTTCTATTGATGCTTTTTCCCTGTGTTTGGACTGTACTTTGGAGTTAGAAAAAAAAGTAAATGTTGTATATGAGGCATATTTAAATTATCTTACACATAGGATATGAAGCTGGCATATTTCTGTTTAGGTACTTTCAAATGTCTTCTTCAGGTGTCACTTGCCAATGCTGTATATTGGATTGGAATATGGTCTGACCAATAACTCCAAATTGGCTGAACGTTTCTTTGGCCAAGCTCTGAGCATCGCACCAGAAGACCCCTTCGTCATCCATGAGGTTGGAGTCGTTGCATTTCAGAATGGAGAGTAAGTACTGGAGGGTGGGCTTGGCCCTTGCATGGGCTTTTTGTAAGTGGGGCCTTAGTCCCAAGAATTCAGCTGACCTGAGTGGCTCTTCAGTGGATTTTTATTTTCAGATGTCCTATTTTAGGAGACAAGGTGGACAGTTTGAAAGTAGAAACTCTCATCTTGGATTCCCTTAAAACTAAACCATGCATGCTCTGTTCCTCTGTAAATATGGGCAACCACAAATTCCAGCTCCCATGGTGTGGTCTATAGACTCTACAGAGTCCTTAATCTTCTCTGTCAATTAGATAGTGGAGTCACACATTAGAGAAAGTGTTTACATAATTTTTGAAACAAATGTCTTCTGTTTAATTACTGGTAAGATAGAAAATTAAGCTACTTAGAATGACCTGATCTTTAGTTTCCTGATCAGTGAGGCTTTTTTGTAGCCTTGGATATTTGTAGAATAAACAATTTGGAGTCATACTCAAAGAAAAAACTATAGTCCTTTATATTAAAGTAAACATAAATTTAAGCACAGAACTTCAGTGTTCTTTGTATTCTAAAAGGTAGGTTATGTAGATTTGGAGCTTTTGAGTAGATAGTAATAACAATGTAGTTCCTCAGAATTCGCAAGGACTATGCGATGAAGTGGCCTACTGCTGAAATTTACTTGTAACCCCAAACTAATACTCAAAGTGCTTTTAGTCTTAACACATGTAGACTCCCCTGAAGCTTAGTTCCTGGTTGATCTTACACAAGACTGCTTAGTCCTGTTTCTAATGGTCTGTTTAGTGCCAGGGTTTTCACATTTTTTTGTATGTTTTTTGTTGGTGATGTCGCTGTCTAAAATAATTTCCAAACAGTGTTTTTTGAAGCATGAGAAGCCATCATGTGCCTCACAAGGGACTGTGTGCACTAGGTGAGCGTTAGGTGAGTGAAGACGCTGTTGGCTGTTAGTGAACTGACAATATATGTTAAACAGTGTTAGTCTTTAGTTGACAAAATGTGGGCAGAGGTTTACAGGACCCTAAATACCACTAATCATGAGAATTGACTGTCTCTCTCAAATCCTGAATCTGCAGAACGGTAATGTCATAAGATCATTTGTCTGTCTCAAACATTTTTCTTTTAATTTTTTTAAGTTAGCATACAAAGGGATACGTTTCATTATGGCATTTTCATGTATATGCATTATTATACCTTATTGTAATCTAAATCAGTTATTTTCAGCAACTTCCATTTCATTTTAGTACTATTGAAGAGATGAATTTTTAAAAACCTATTTCTTTTTATTTTATGTGTATGAGTGTTTTGTCTGCATGTAAGTGCACCACATGGGTGCAGTGCCTGCAGAGGCCAGAGGAAGGCATTGGATTACCTGGAACTGGAGTTATGGATGGTTGTGAGCTGCCATGAGGGTGCTAGGAACTGAATCCACCCTGGAATTGCTAAGTCATCTCTCTACCCCTTCACATTTTTCTTAAGATGTTTATCCTTGCAAATTTTGAATAACCTCTGACCCTTTTTTCCCCTCTATTTTAGATGGAAAACAGCAGAAAAATGGTTTCTTGATGCTTTGGAAAAAATTAAAGCAATTGGGAATGAGGTATTCTATGTAATATCTATACATGTACACACATGCACATCCCTAAGCATATTTACTGTTGGATGTGGAAAATGCAGGCACAGTCTCTCACCTAAAAGAGAATAATATTTGTCATAACAAATAACTTGATCAGGTTACGATGGTCACACAGTTGACTTTTATCCCATAGAAAATCTGAGTTTATTTCTGATCAAAGAACAGGTATTGGATGTGACATGGGGCAGCAGTGAGAACACATAGGTGGTGGTTTGAAGCAGGGTTTCTGATGATTGAAGATATCTCAGTGTTTAATGCAACATTGCTTCCCTAGAGCTTCAAGAGCCTAGTCTTTGGCTCAAGAGTATGTGTAGCTTGGCAGCAGATACACTTCTGCAAGGCTGGGTGTCATTCAAATTCAGACCTTTTGTTGTTCCTGTGTCTATCTAGGTCATTGGACATTTGAAACATTTTCATGAATTTGTGTTAATGAATTTATCCTCCAACTAGCAAGACTGTATATGCACTGGTATTATGTATAAATAGCAATTTTCTATATAAACAAGTATAAGTAAGGGATCTGCATGCGGCCACTCTTGATTTCCATTTCCTTCAGTTGGTACTTATTTAGTCTTACTCTGTTCTGAGTTTCACACCCTGGTTTTTGTACATTCGTGCTCACAGCTCCCTTTCTTTGTATTTGCTTCTATCTCTGTGACAGACACAGCTCCATAGAGCTCCTACATTAACAGTCACTGTAGATTGACCTTTGCTTGCTTTGGTCTTTTGTTGTTTGTCATCTGAACTTACAAATATGTTTCTGTTGTTGCACTTGTGTATCTGTAAAGCGTGTTTTTTTCCTCAGCTGGGTCTTGGGGAATTTTGGATAATATTAATGTTTTTGTGAAAATAGAGTTGCCACTCACCACTTTCCAGCTTTGAGAGAACTGAATGTCTCACTACTCAGACTGGCCCAATAGCATTAGCTTCACCTGGAGGCTGGTTACAAATGCACATCCTCAGATCTGTTGAGTCAAAATTGTGTCTGTCACAGAGATAGAGGCACTTTGTATCTTACTGAAACTTAAAATAATTATATTAAATATGATAACATAACTATTGAAGTCCCAGAATGCCAACTAAGTTATATGAAGGGAATGTGCTGCATGGCTTTAGTAAGAAACCATAGCAGATGTCAAGATAGTCAAAGAGAAGTGCTCATGCCTAAGAATCTGTGAAGAATTTTTATTTGCATAGGCTGGTCTCTTAAAGTCCAGTCCTCCTAGCATTGGGAAAGGTGGCCAAAATTCCTTTTTGTTTATTTAGCTGACATGTGTTTAATGCGCACTGCCATGACCTAGGCTCTGAGCCAAGCATCAAATACAAGAACTATTTCCATATTTCTTGCCCTCAGATCCACTAGGAAATATGAATCATTTGTTAGCAGTGATGCAGTATGATCAAGGAAATGAAGGTACCACATACAAGAGTTGTTCACCTAGATGTGAGAGTGGCCAGAAAGACTTCTGGGTATATTACACCCCATCCTGAGTACTCAGACATTAACCAGACAGAAATAAGGGAGGAGGGTATTTCAGGTACAGAAGATGGCATGTATGGGAGCCAATTCACTATAGTTTGGATTTTGACATCTCAGAGAATGTCAGGAAAGGTTAAGTGTATGTGATAAAGGCCTTGAAAATGATGTTAGAGAGTGTGCACATTATTCTGAAATAGGAACAATGAGGTGTTTCAGAGAACAGCATAGCCAGGCTTGTAGGATGGGAGTGTGGGCCAGAGTTTTGGTAATGGAAGCTAAGGTTTACAGGGTTGGCCCTTTACCTGCCACATAAAGTGAACAAGCTCTGGAGATTCTTAGGTCATTTTGGTTCTATCCATTAACAACTGGTAGGACATTTGGGATGAGGTTAGAGAGCTAGAATGACTAGAGAGAGATGCCTTGATGTGACATACTGAATTGAAAGTTCTTATGACAAGTCTACATAGAAATATTTAGTAGGCAGATGGATAAAAGATCCAGTGTTTCAAAGAGAACTCTAGGCTAGAAGTACATGATTAAAATTTGGGGGGCATGGATGGACTCTTGGACAAAGTTGTGCTAATTACAGTGGTATGCTCAGGAAGTCTCATCTAGTGGAGAAGAAAATTGGTTAAACCAGTAGATATCTTTCCTCTACTGTGGAGGAACCTATCAGGAGAGAGAGCCCAGCTTGCAACTTATAGGACATGAAATGATTCAGTACAAATAAATCAGGCTGAACAGTGACATGTATAACTCGTGGGCTTGATGTTGCTATGTTTTAGGTAACAGTTGACAAGTGGGAACCTTTGTTGAACAACTTGGGACATGTCTGCAGAAAACTTAAGTAAGTGAAGTAGAGTATTTTCAGAAATATACTTTGTGACTAAAAGTTTACTTAATTTTGAATGGCCTTTTTGTTTATTTCATGATACTCTCCAGTCCACATACGTGGCTACTCAGATACAACAAGCATCAAAATCCGTCTTTATTATCTTAGTTGGTGTAGTTTTATTTTAGAAACATTGAGAAGTGTATCAGCTTTTTTTCTTACGTTAAAAACTTTAGTGTTCAAAGTGAATATAGGAGCACTAGGACAATAAGGTCTGGTTATGACCATGACCATATTCAGGCTTTGTGCACCCAGAAATTTCATGGTATAATAAACTGATGATGGTTCAAAATGAGTTCTTTGTCTAGGGATGTACTTCAATTGGTAGAGTGCTTACGTGGCATGGAGGAAAAGGGTTCACTTCCCAGGACTGCATAAAACCTGGCATGATGGCGTATGTCTATAATCCCAGCACTCGGTAGTAGAGACAGGAGGATCAAAAATTCAAGATCATTATGGCTACTTTGTGAGTTTGAGGCCAATCTAGGTTACATGACCCTTTCTCAAAAAGGAGGGCAGGGCTTCTCTGTTTAAAATAAACCATTGGAACTCTAGGTTAGTTAAAATTTAGTAAGTTTGGTAGGCATGGTAGCACACACCTCTACACCTGTAATCCCAGGACTGGGGAGGCTAAGGCAGGAGGATTGCTGCAAGTTTGAGGTCAGCCTCTGGGCTATAGAGTGAGGCTCTGTCTCACAACAACAACAACAAAATTTAATGTTTTTGGGCAGAGAATGCCCCTAAATACCTTTACACAATATAAGAAAAAGGTAGACTTAAATCTTAAATGTAACTAAAACACGGGATGGGAAAATTCTTTTTTTTTTCTGTTGTAGAATTTCTTTGAGTCTTGACTATTGTGAGCTGTAACATTTCCCAGACTTTGAGTGGGAAATCTTTTTATAAAAGAGCAAATATTGCCGGGCGTGGTGGTGCACACCTTTAATCCCAGCACTTGGGAGGCAGAGGCAGGCAGATCTTTGTGAGTTCAAGGCCAGCCTGGTCTACATAGCAAGTTCCAGGACAACTGGGCTACAGGGAGACCCTGTCTCAAAAAGACAAAAAAAAAAAAAAAAAAAAAAAAGAGCAAATATTCCAGGAACTTTGGGAAACGCTATTCTAAGTTTCATGGATGTTAAAGTAAAACTGATTACTTGCACCTGCCCTGGTGTAGAGTGGTTAGCTATCATAGGAAAAGTTGGTGTGTGATGAGGCTCAGGCTAGGAGTCAGGGACAAGGTTCTGACTGCTGTCCCCTTAGATAGAAGAAAGAACAGCAGATATATACTGGAGACCCCACATCCAGCTAAGAGGCATGCCAGGGAAAAAATAATTTATCAAATCTATAAAAGTAGGTATGGGATAGTTCTCAATCTAGAATGTAGCTCTAAGGAAAGTCTTACGTGTTCACAAAAACAAATATGAATCTTAAACTTAAAAAATTTAGCACTTTTCTTGTAGCCATAATTGTTTTCTCTTTCCCCCTCCCCCTTATTTTCTCTCAACAGAAAATATGCTGAGGCTTTGGATTACCACCGGCAGGCACTGGTGCTGATCCCGCAGAATGCTTCCACCTATTCTGCCATAGGGTATATCCATAGTCTGATGGGCAACTTTGAAAATGCTGTGGACTATTTCCACACAGTATGTCTTTTGCATGTATTCTACTCTAAATCTGGTTAACATATGCTCCTTTTTTGAAAACATCTTTTCTAGGCAGTGTTTACTTATTTGCAGTTTAAACTTCTTTAATAAGTGTTTTATTCTTTTCTTTGCATAGAAAAGTATGCATATTGTATAATAGTTAACAAGACAAACATGAGAGTGGGCCTGCATGGGCACTAAGATGCTAAGTGCCCAGTGGTACTTGTTACTGGGTCCCATTTGAGTTTTGTCAAGGCAGAGAGCAGAAATCCTGGTTCACAGTAAAAACCTTTTGGAACCAACTCCCTGTCGTCCCTCTTAGGGCTCTACCATTAACTTCTTGGTCCCTTTGCAAATGAACAAAAACAACCTACTCATTTACTGCAGCAAAGGATCTTTCCTTAGTTCACATACCTTATTTTATGAAAGCTAAAATCTAGATCTTGGGTAGACCTTTTGAAGAACCATAAAAGAAAAACCATAAAGAGAGGAAAAAGTGATACTGAGTTTTAGTAAATAAGTACAATGACTATGAAGAAAAAAAAAAATGCTGCAACTAAGCTTTATCATAATCATCCCCTATCAGGCTTTTGTACTTACAGAAAATACCTAGACATAGGTTTTTATCATCACTCTGGTACACACAATTTAAAAAATATATAAGTGAAATGAATTGTTCCAGTTTTCAACCCAGGTAGTCCGTGTCACTTTCTTCCCTGTGTAGTATCTTGGCACCAGCACACATGGCTGTTCTGGAATCTGGGATTCCTCCATCTGCAGATACCTGCTTTGCAAATCTTATAAAACTTTTTTAGCCTACTTATTTGTCAGCAAAAGGTTTTAGACAACCTCCACAATTCGTATATTATCTTTTTTTAAATTTTTTATTATTTTTATTTTATGTGTATGTGTGTATTTCCTGCATGCCTGCAAGTGCACCCGTGTTGTGCAGTGCCATGGGGTCAGAAGAGGGCTTCAGAGTCCCCTGGAACTGGAGTTAAGGATGGTTCATAGCTGCCATGTGGGTGCTGGGAATCGAACCTGGGTCCTCTGCAACAGCAGTCAGTGCTCTTAACCGCTGAGCCATCTCTCCAGCCCCAGTGCCTATATTATCTTTATATGGTCCACACATGGTTCTTCCCTGACCACCAGGTGTACAGTACAGGGTACCTATATCACAGCTGTGCCTGGTAACAGCAGCAAGACACTCCAGTTATATCGCAGATTCAGATTTGGAGAACATATGGGCCTAATCAACTAATGGAAGAGAGAAATAATATATGAGCCAAAAGGTAAATTCATTGGTGTGATAGGTTCATAACTGGTCTACAAGGATTAGTTAGCAATTTTGAGGCTACATTATAAGTATTTTTAAAGAAAAGGAAAGGGATTACATTTCAATAATAATGCTTTGTTTTTTGTTTGTTTTGACAGGCCCTTGGTCTTAGGCGAGATGACACATTTTCTGTTACAATGCTTGGTCACTGTATTGAAATGTACATTGGTGATTCTGAAGCTTACATTGGTAAGGTTAAATCGCTCTTCTTAGCAGTGTATTAGCCTTTATCTCTGGGGCTTTTGAAATCTCATCCAGCAGTCTGAATTCAAAAACTTCTATTTTTTGGAATAGTGTAGCAGAAATTAGTGACTCATTCCAAGTTGAGTACTTACTGCACATCAAGCAGTCATGAAGCATGGCAGCACAGAAAAAATGTGTAACAGTTTAGCAGAAAAAAAATCATAGTGTTGTTTCTCTAAGCAAATGAAGGGCTCTGGCCTTTTTATTTTATAATACAGAGTAAAACCTAATAATCTACATCTCAGTGGAGCATTAAGATGCCTTTCATTTACTTAACCATGATAAATAATCCTTTGGATTACTTTCATAATGGTAAGTAGTAGAATAACTTTGAATAGGATTGCTATAATTGGGCACAATTATAGATTGCTATAATAGGGTCAAGTATTGTGAGATACTGATAGTACATTGAGGTTAAATGTTGAGATCTGGACCTTGGAGTAAGCAAAAATTTCTTTAAAAGCACTATCAAGACAGGGAAAGGTGATTAATTGAGCTTTAATAAAACTAAGAACCAAAAATATCATTACAAGAGTAAAAGGCGTGCTACTGACTGGGTGAAATGACTGTACATGTAGTGCCTCAGAGAGTTCATGTCTGAAACCAAAAAATCTTGCAAGAAAGTTAAATAAAAGAATTAATGTATCAAAAATGGGCAAACATGCTGGAAGTGGTAGTGCATATCTATAATCCTACCACGTGGGAGGCTGAGGCAGGAGGACCACAAGCTCTAGACCAGCTTGGGCTATATACACAGTCTCAGATTCCACCCCTGAATGCCCTCACACCCCAGAATGGAGCAAATACTGGAACAGTTACTTCACAAAAGATGGCATAACTACTTAGTTAGGAATCACATGAAGGTGTCCAACAGCATCTCTTACCTGGAAATGGAGTTGGCATCAGCATAAGAGGCCACCACACATCCTCCAGAATTGCTGAAATCTAACATATCGGGAACTAATGTTGGTGATGATGTGGAACAACTGGATCTCTTGTGTGTTACTGATTATGGTGAAGTTAAAAATGAGTAAAACCTGTAAAACTGTTCAATGTGTTACCAAAGTTACCAGTTAATGTGTTGCTGAGTATCAAGCTACACAAACGTGGTGGTTTAAATAACAATGATGTATGATTTTTCAAGTTCTTTTGGTCACTTGAGTGTTGTTCTCCTGGTCTCCCTTGTTCATTCATGTGGCTTTGGTCAACAGATGTATCACTGAGGATGTGCTATGATGAGCTTACTGATGGGTGGAGGACCTTGGCTGGGATAGCCAAGTGTCTGAGGTTTTTTTTATCCCAGGCTTCTTCAGAGAATAGATGAGCTCAGAGATAAGGACAAGAAGCTAAACTTCAAGACCTCAAAAGTTGGAAGTTGCACATCACACTCATCATTAAACAAGTTATAATTTAGCTCAGTCACTGTTGAAATAGGCTCTTAGGTCAAGGACCTGGACTTCGTGGTGCATCAAGTGCTATTAGGGGGACACAAGCAACTAGATCACTCTTAGGATATAGCAGCGCTGCTCCAAGAAGTTAGCTCCAAGAAGTTAGTCCAACAGAAGCAAGTAACTGTCAGCCAAAGTCACATGCAAGTTTCCTCATTTCATAGCTTTATTCAGTCTTTGTACCTGAATGGAAATGTCTCAGACATCCATCAGTGGAAAAACAGAGAAACAAACTAAAGTCTATGTAGTCAGCAGACTACTACATGATTAAAAATTGGTTAATGACAGTCCTATAGCAGTGGGAGGAGCTTCACAGTCCAGCAAAGGAAGTGTGTACTGATTACAATAGTATAGAAGACTAGTAACAAGCATGTCTAAGTGGTGGTGATAGAAAAGTCCGTGGTGATGACCCAGGCGTTGAAACACTGGTAATACTGGCCAGGAAGGATGGAGTGATATATGCATAGTCAGTGCTCTGCTCTTCTGCCCAGTGATGATAAGCATGTGTAAGAATTCATCCAGCTATGTGACTATGACTAAGGAAAAGTATATTTCTGTTTGTCTTATAACTCTAATACCCTAAAGACCCAAGTTTGAAAAGCTTAGCACCAATAGTCAGCAGTCCCTATGACTTTTGGAACAAGGCTGAGCCTCACCTTCTATGTCAGACATTTTGTTAGTAGAACAAAATTATCTGATAGAAACAACTTAAGACAGGAAAGCTTTATTTTGGCTCAGTTTCAGAAGTTCCAGTCTAAGGCATGAGGGAGCAGAGCAGCTTACCTCATAGCAGCAGGAAGCAGAGAGGAAATACCCATGTTTACTGGCTGGCTTCTTTTTCCCCTTTACAGACCCACCCAGAAGTGTGCTTTACCAATTTAATAGGTATTTCTCAATTCATTCAAGTTCTAATTCATTACTTACTGTTTTTATTTTTAGGATGTTTATGTTATTATCACCAAAGTACCTAGTTCTGAAAGCTCTTAGTTTGAAATGTATAATATTTTCAGTTTCATCAGAAATTATTGAACCTAAGCAGATCAGTCCAAATACTTACTATTCTTAAATTTTTTATATATTTTGATATAGGTGAAATATATCTTAAAATGTATTTACTTTGTTCCAGTTTTCCTGAGCAGTAGATGAGTGACTGCACTCCACACTGCTTAAGGCTTTCCAGTATTCAAGGGGCTTTGGGAGTAGGTGGCTATGGAGCCACATAGGAGCCTTAACTGCATGTGTTTTAAAAGTTTTCCCAGATTCTCCCTTGAAAATGGTGGGCAATGAACAAAAGCAAAGAAAAATCTGGAATATTTTTTACCTCCTTCTGATCTGTATTTATATTCTTTAAAGTGCAATTTGACTTAAATAGTAATGGCAGTGTCATAATGATCAATGATGGAATTTCTTACTTTCTAATTATGATGTTTCTTTTTAGGAGCAGACATTAAAGACAAATTAAAATGTTATGACTTTGATGTGCATACAATGAAGACACTAAAAAACATTATTTCACCTCCGTGGGATTTCAGGGACTTTGAAGTAGAAAAACAGAGCACAGAAGAAGCGGGGCTTGCACCATTGGAAAACTCCAGAAAAACTCCAGATTCCAGACCTTCTTTGGAAGAAACTTTTGAAATTGAAATGAATGAAAGTGACATGATGTTAGAGACATCTATGTCAGACCACAGCACATAATTCCACAGACAGTAGTCCAGGACCTGCGCATGCTGGTCTAGGTCAGTATTTCCTTGCATCCTTGTTCCGCCTTAAGAATTTCCCACTTCCTAATGTGAATCCAAACTACATCTCTACATTTAGGACCAGCGGCCTACCCTAAGAGACGGGATAGTACACCTTGGCAGCAGATGTTTTCTGATTCTCTGAACCTACGAAATAGTTATACGTAGTGGAATAAAGAAGGTAAACCATCTATTGTGTCGTCTTTTTTTTTTTCAACGAGTTACTATTCTGGAATAATTGTAGAGAAAAGTTGCCAAGGTAGTAGTTTCTGTATGTCTGTTACTTGGTGTGCCCCATTGTTAGCATCTTACCATTACCATTGGACATTTGTTATGGCTAAGGAAGTTTTGCTGGTGCGTTGCTCTTAACTCTAGTTTTCCCTAAGGTTCACTTCCTGACTCAGAAGCCTGCCCAGCATACACTTACACAGGCGTCATGGCTCTTTGTACTCTCTGCTGTGGGACAAGGTCTCAAACTTTCCTTGTTCAGGACCTTCACAGTTTGGAGTATGCTCAGTCGATGAAGAGTGTTCCTCTTTGATTTTCTTGTTCCTCATGACTGGACTATGATTTTGAGTTTAGGTAAAATACCACAGAAATAAAGCACCTTTCTCAGTGATGCTGACTTTGACCTTGAGCACATTGTTTCTTTTCCCTCTTCCTTCTTCCTTTATCAAACTCTTCAGTTTCCTCCTTTCTGCTAACTTGGCCAGTCACTTATCTGTATGAGCTTGTAAGCACTCATGTTTTGAGTTGTAAGCCTATACAGTGTTACTTTGTGGCTTCAAGAGTATTTGCTTGGCCATTAGGTGCTCTTTCACCTTGTTTCTCTGTCCCTGTGATGTGCTCTGTTTTTTTGTTGACTCTATTGTGATAAAGTGCATGAAACACACAATTGGAGTTTAGTTAATGATAATGTATCTGCACTAGTTCATCAGTTGTGGAAAGTTATATGAATGTTTAAAATGTTACCAGTAGGGGATATGTAGGTAGAGCTAGGGAGAGGAATTGGACAGGAGCTCTATTTTTTATTTAGTTTTTCTAGAAACCTTAAACTCGTAAGTAACAATCTAATGAACACATGTACCTACATATAAAAATATGAAAGATGGTCATTTTGACCATTCAGAAGAGTACAACTCAGTGGTATTATATCCATGATACTATGCAGATCATTGTTTCTATAACTTTTCACTCTCCCTCAACAGGAACTCTGCACTCATTAAGCAGTAACTCCCTAGTCCTCCAACCTGTGACCTTCTGTCTTGTATAAATTTACTTGTTTTAGGTATATAATGTGGCTCTATAGACTGTCTTTTTTGTATAATTTGTTTATTTATTTATTTGGTCTTTTTGAGACAGGGTCTCCCTGTAGCCTAGCTGGCCTGGAATTTATTCTGTAGACCAGGCTGGCCTCGAACTCACAGGAATCTGCCTCCCAAGTGCTGGAATTAAAGGCTTGCACCCCTATGCCCAGGTTATAGCTTATTTTTACTTATTTTCAAGGTTTATACATACATAGCATAGCTAGGTGTGGTGGCGCATGCCTTTAGTCCCAGCCTGGTCTACAGAGTGAGTTCCAGGCTAGCTAGGGCTACAGGGAGACCCTGTCTCAAAAAGACAAATAAAAATACATATGTAGCATAAATCAGAACTTCATTACTCTATAGCTGTTTCATTATAGAGTGATCACAGTTTGCTTATCCATTCATCTGTTAATGTGAAACAACTTGTTTTCACCTTAGACTGGTTTGAGTAATGTTTCTGTGAACATTAGCAAACAAATCTTAATGAGTAGGGTGGGGTTTTTCCTATTATTATTATCATCATTATTATTATTATTACTATTATTTTAGTTATAAGCCCAGCCTGGTCTCAAACTTGGTAATGTAGTTAAGGATGACCTTGAACTCCTGATCCTCTTGCCTCCACCTTTCAAATGCTGGGATTACAAGCAGGTGTCACCATACCCAGCTTTTCATTTTCTTCAGTTACAGAGTTAGGTTTCTGGGTCATATAGTGCTTAACTTTTGAGGAATTGCCAAACATGTAGTTGGTATCACATTTTTCATTCTACCAGCAGTATGCAAGGTTCAAGTTTTTCCGCATCCTCATACTCGTTTCCCATTGTCTCAGTTACTTTTCCTGCTGTTGTGATAAAAATACCCTGACAAAAGCAACTGAGAGAAGGGTTTATTTTGGCTCACCATTCAGGTACAATCCATCATGGCAAGGAGGTCAAGGCAGCAGGAACTTGAAGCAACTGGGCACATTTTGTGGGCAATCAGGAAGAGCAATGAGTAATGGTGCTCAGCTAGCTTTCCCCTTTGTATATAGTTCAGGACCCAAACCCAGGGAATGAGGTCACCTACATTCAGGGTACGTCTTCCCACTGTAATTAACCTAATCTAGACAATCCCTCACAGGCATGCCTAGAGGCCAACCAAATCCCTTACTGGTCTTCTAGATAATTCCAGATCCTGCCAAGTTGGCAGCACTATAATACCACCCATTTTTTTTTTAATTATCATTTTATGTGTTTTGCATACATGTAAGTGCACCACGTGTGCAGTGCCCAAGGAGGCCAGAAGAGGGTGTTGGATCCCCTGGAACTGGAGTTGTGGATTGTTGTTAGCTGCCGTGTGGGTGCTGGGAACTGAACCTGGGCCTTCTGGAAGAGCAACCAGTGCTCTTAACTGCAGAGCCACCTCTCTAGCCATCACATCCATTATTTTTCATTCTAGGTGACACAGTAGATATGAGTTAATATTGCCGTGGTTTAGATTTACATTTCTCTAATAATTATATTGCGCATTCTCTCATGAGATTATATTTTTGGAGAAATGCTGATTCAAGTTCTTTGCCCATTTTCAAATTGAGTGTTTTTGTTACTGAGTTGTAGAGGGTTTTTTGGTTTGTTTGTTTTTTTTCAAATGAATCTTGGCTATCCACCCTTTTCATACAAAAAATTTATTCTTTTTTTTCTTACCCTGTTCATTCTCAGTTATGCCCTTTGATACACAGCACAAGCTGTTCAGTCCCCTCCCCCATTTTTTATGTTTATATGTGTGCTTGCTGTGCATGTGTGTTCCACATGCATGTGAAGCCCCAACGCTGATGTCAGGATTTATCCGAAATTGCTCTTCCACCTTCTTGAGGCAGGGTCTCAGTCAAACCCAGAGCTTGATGGTATAGCTAGTCTTGCTAACCAGCTTGCTCTGGAGAAGTCCTGTCTCCACCTTCCACTTGGCTGAACTTAACACATAGGCCGCCAAGTCCAGTGAGCATTTACATGGGTTTCTGGGGATCCAAATGTGAGATCTCAGCTTGCATAGCAATCACTTTAGTCACTGAAGCATCTTCCTAGCCCTGACAGCTTTGTTTTTCTTAATTTTTTGCTTGTGTGTGCATATGCATGTACCATGTGTGCATACATATGAAGGTCAGAGGAGAACCTTGAGCTTCATCCTCACAAATACCATCTACTAGTCCTTTGCAGGGCTCACTGGCCTGGAGCTCACCAATTACGCTAGACTAGCCAGCCAGTCTCAGGGTTCCTCCTGTCTCTACCTCCCCAATGCAGGGTTACAAGTATGCACCACCACACCTAGCATTTTTATGTGGGTGTTGGATATTAAACTCTGATCCTCACGGTTGAGAACCCCAATATGCTAATACTGTAAGGCTTTATTTAGCCCTCAGAAAGAACCTGAGCAGTTGTATGGTATGCCCAAGGTCTGCTATGCAGCCCCATTCTGTGCTTGTCATGGTGAATGTCAGCCACTATGTGAGTGCTTCAAGCTAGCGCTGTTTAGACTCAGACCAGTGTGTTCCTAACTCCTTCTCTTTTAATGGCTTCACTGCCTCTCCTCGGGCATCATGGATGCTTGTTTTTATGCTTCTTGGTTATGGCTAAAAAAATTAAATGACTTAAAATAATTTTTAAAAATAGCTAAGAAAAGCCGGGCATGGTCGCGCACGCTTTTAATCCCAGGCAGAGGCAGGCGGATCTCTGTGAGTTCAAGACCAGCCTGGTCTACATAGTGAGTTCCAGGCCAGCTGGGGCTACAGGGAGACCCTATCTCAAAAAGACCGAAAAAAAAAAAAAATAGCTAAGATAGAAATATCCTACTAATAAAAGTGCTGAGTGTTTTCACATTTGGCCTGCCAGAGTATTTTTCCTTTGAATTTTCTCACTGGTCTCATTTTTTTGGTTTCTGGGTAAGTCGATATGTAGTAGTGAACCACAACAAAATAGTGCTTTAAAACCTAAAATGCAGGGCTGGAGAGATGGCTCTGCAGTTAAGAGCACTGACTGCTCTTGCAGAGGACCCGGGTTCGATTCCCAGCACCCACGTGGCAGCTGCAAACCGTCCTTAACTCCAGTTCCAGGGGAATCCGAAGCCCTCTTCTGACCTCCGTGGCATTGCACAACATGGGTGCACTCACTTACATGCAGGCAATACACTTATACACATAAAGTAAAAATACTTTTAAAAACCTAAAATGCAAAGCTTGATGCATAACTAATATGTAATTGAGAACAACACTGTTAATACCAATGCTTAAGCTTCAGAAGGTAAAGAAAAGGTGTTATGTCATGGTATCACCAATAATTATTTGTGTTACTACTCAGTTCTCCAATGTCTTATAACAGTGAAGTTTTCTAAGATGATGTCCTTCTTACAGCTGTGAAGAGGCTGTGCCATCATCTTTAAAGGAGAAATTGGGAGTGCTATGGTCACCATCTTCAAGTCACTGTCACCTGCCACTTGGATAGGGCTGCCAATGAAATGTAGCCCCAGGACCACATTTGTGGGTGGAAATGTTTCAGTTAGGGAAAAGTGAAGTTACTCTATCCATGCTGACATTTGGAAATGTTTACTGTTTATTAAGACTAAGTTCTGTTGCTTTAATAAAACAGGTTGGATAAGAAGTAGGAGCTAGATTTTTTGTTAGTGTTTTATGTAAAACTGAACACTATGTGTATTTCATTCTCTGCATTTTGAAATTCTAAGTTTTTAAGGTTTTGGGGGTTTTGTTTTGAGACACAATTCAAGCTAGCCTTGAGCTCATTATGTACCCAAGGATGACCTTGAACTCCTTCCTGATCCCCCTGCTTCTGCTTCCCAACTATTGTGATTACCACTGTATTCTACTATGCATGGGACCTTTAAGGAATAATTCAATTAGCTGATTTTTTAAAATGTTTTATTATTTTTAATTTTTGTGTATGAGTGTATTGCCTGGGTGTGTGTTAAGTGCACTTGTGTTGTGCAATGTCTGTGGAGGTCCGAAGATGGCATCTGGTCCCCTGGAACTGGAGTTACCAACAGTTGTTAGCTGCCATGTGGGTGCTGGGATTGGAACTCAGATCCTCTGCAAGAGCAGCCAGTGCTCTTAACCACTGAGCCATCTCTCAAGCCCCACCTGAATTTTTTAACGATTTCTTTTTATCCCGTGTGTGTATGTGTGTGTGTAGTATGTATGGGTACCCTTGGAGGCCAGAACAGGTTGTTAGATCCCTGGAGCTGGTGTTGCAGACAGCTGTGAGCCACCTGATAGGGTGTTGGGAACTGAACTTAGGCCCTCAGGAAGAGTAGGAAAGGCTCTCAACCACTGAGCACTTTCTCCAGCTTCCAACAGCTGAATTTTAAAATCTTGTAAAAAATTAAAATACTTGGGGTGGGGGGCAGCACATGCATGCTCTGGCACAGTTCTAGAAGTTAGAGGACAATTTGGGGGAGCTAGTTCTTGACAACTGGTTTAAAGCAGGGTCTCTTATTTGTGCCACTGCACTGCTAGTGAGCTTTCAGCTGATGATCATTCTGCCTCCCAGATTCTGTCTTCACTTCCCATCTCACTGCTGGAGGGCTGGGATTACAGATGCAACCCACCACATCTGGTTTAGAATCAAACTCTGGTCATCAGATTTGCCTGCCAAGTGCTTTTACCCACTGAGCTATTTATCTCTGATCCTTGGGTTCTGTAATTTCTGCACCCTGTAATTTTTTCAAAACTTAATTGCATTAACAGGGAGAATTACGGGCATCTTAAGAAACTGAGTGTTAGCTGTTACTTTGAGGAGAAATCTTGAGCATCTTGTTAATTCAGTTTACAAGAACTACTCATCTAGAAAGCACTTGAGTACCTAACAAGTGCAGATACCTCATTCCTGCTTAAATGAAATCTGTGGGGTTGCAAGGGATGCTCTTGAGCACAGGGTGCAGTCCTGATTGTACAGCAGAGGTGTACCCGATGTTCTGAAGGAGCAAAGGATCTCTCTCCTGGCAGAAGGCCAATCCTGCTTCAGAAAAGTGGACAGGAGGCACTGGGCAGAGGACATACCTAATAGTGGTGGGGACACGATGAGAACACAGGAGACAAACTGCACATGGTTAATGAGAGTGGGGACAGGAGTGCTCGACAGCTTTGGTATATTTTGAGTTAAAGGAATCACCTTGTGCCGGACACCTTTAATCCCAGCACTTGGGAGGCAGAGGCAGGTGGATCTCTATGAGTTCAAGGCCAGCCTGGTCTACGTAGAGAGTTCCAGGACAGCTGGGCTACAGGGAGACCCTGTCTCAAAAAGACCACCCCCCCAAAAAAATAAATAAGGAATCGCCTTGGTCCTAGAGTTGTAAGAATCTTTCATAGATAGAAGGTCTATGCTTTAGAATCTGCTTAATTACCCCAGGTTAGAAACTTTACTGAGGTAAAATTAAATACAGATTGTTCAACCTGAGCAGCCTTTAGTGATTGGAGAGGGAAGTTACGGGAACACACTGAAAGTTGTTTATATGTTCTGTGCTTTTAAAGATTGCCGAAACAATTCTAAATGAATTATTTTGTTGATGCTAAACACAGCTCTCACCTCAAAACGAATATTTATTCTGAACCAAAGAGTGACTGTCCAAGAGGATGGGTTATGGCTGCCACATAATCCCAAAAGTCCTAAATCAAAACGTTAACCAAATACACTGTTGGAAATAGCAAGTAGACAAAGAAAAATATCTGTAAGTCTGAGTGCTACCTGATGCCGGTTCTTAGCTTTTTGGTTGAAATTAATGGTCTGCTAAGTAAATACCTTCCAAAGGGTTTACCTGACAGTCGAAAGGATGTTAGGTCAGGCACACAGGTGGGCAGTCAATGGCTATTAAAGGGACTAAAGATAGCCCAAGATAATTTTGGTCCTGGGTTCGTAATATTCCAACTCTCTTCAGTCACATAGTTCTTATCAATCAGCCTTGTACAGTCTAACATAGGTATGTTTTTCTGGGACCTTCAGTTTCCACATTTTCATCAGCCCTTCAACCATACATTTTCTTAATATAGTTAACAGACCTCTAGAGCTTTTGGTCAACATAACTTATTCCAAACAGAGAGGGCTAAAACAGTGGGCTCTGAGTCCTCGGCTTCCTTGCAACCATGAAATCCTGGAAACAACCCCTGGTACAGGAAGTTTTAGAGAACTCTGCTGTTTGAACCTTGTAAACAATCATTGAAGCACCGTGCATAGCACTAGTGTGCAGCAGCACGCTGCCTGCCAGGGTGGCACACCCTCTGGGAGCAGGGCAGCGTTGGCACCGCCCCTTCTCCTTCCAGGGCCTGGGGGAGGGGACGCCGGCCCTCGAACTCCAGGGGAGGGGCGGTAGAGTCCTCGCGAGGTTTCGTGCTGGCGCAGGCGGTGGACGGCGACAGGTGGGGATGCGCTCGGAAGAGGGGGCCGGAGGCCTGGGCGCAGCCGTGTCCGCGCGGGGTCCGAGTTGGAGGGAGTTGTCGGCCGCAGACGTCCAGTTTCGCCGAGAGTCCCCGCGGAGGGTGTATTCGGTGCCTCTAACCTCATCCCTCAGCGAGGGCGGAGCCGGCAAGCCTCGCGAGGAAAAGAAGACGGCCCTGAGCAAGGTGAGGATGGAGCTGCAAAGTCTCGCGAGACGAGGTGGCCCCGCGGCGCTGAGAAGGGGGCGGAGCCTGGCGGTCTTGTGGGGCTTGGGCAGTGTGCTCCGTCCATCCGGAGTTTGCCAAGTGGAGAGAACTGCCTTCTTTCCGGCTCCGGCGGGTGACTCCGGTGGGTGTGGCAGAGGCTGGCGGGGCGGGAGGCGCTGGTGACGAGACGATCCTTGGTCGCCACAGGTGGTGCTCCGCAGACTGCCGCCAGGCCTGACCAAGGAACAGCTGGAGGAGCACCTGCGCCCGCTGCCTGCGCACGATTATTTTGAAGTGGTGGCTGCAGACCTCAGGTGAGGCCTACGCCGGGCTGGAGGTGAGGGATGGGGGCCGGGGCGCTGCGGTGGTGGATGGAGTGACCGAGGCCACCTGTCCCCAGCGCACCTGGGTTCCGAGATGTCCCAGAGATAATGGGTGGAAGGAGTGACCGAGGCCACCTGTCCCCCAGCACACCTGAGTTCCCAGGTGTCCCAAAGGTGGTGGGTGGAGGGAGTGAATGGAGGTTACCTGTCCCCAGCGCACCTATCTTTGCGCAGCTGCGCTCTCAGGTGTCCTAGAGGTGGTGGGTGGAGGGAGTGACCGAGGCCACCTGTCCCCAAAACACCCGTCAGTTTGCACTTGCGTTCTGAATGGGCATATCACCCTCTCTGTCCGTCTAGACAGAACTTTAGTAGGCCTGTGGCACCACGGTTGTATAGAACAGACCAGGCGTTTCTTGGTTTGCCTCTTTAGTGTTGCCATACCTTCCTCCACTTGGCTTTTAATAAAGTGTATGACCAGAGAATGAAAGTGCATCTGTTAATACTGGAGTGTTTGGAGTATTTGCTAGTAATGAAGGACCAGTGACTGACCCTGGAAAAATGGAATTGCAGACCCCTGACGCTCTACTCCCACCCCCACCACTGAATCAGGCTTGCTTTTTGCCATAGATGACCAGAGCCACACAGGAGTGGCCTAGTCAGTAGTAGGTGACAGTGCACTTTAATTCATCGTACTTTTTTTAAAAAAAATTTATTGAGCTTTTGTACATTTCATACCACAGTTCTTAAATAACTTTAGACACCACCACCACCCCCATCAGTGGACTTTATGTATTCCGCTGTACATGTTAAGTCCTATCCCGCCAAGCATTTGTACCCAGGTGTACTTCGGTGCAAATTCATCCACTGGAGTCTAGTCAGCCTATCTAAAATAAAGATTGTAAGTAAGGCCTACTCTCCCTCACCCAGTAGTAATCAGTCTCCAGTAGTTCCCAGACTAGGGCCAGCCCACAACCCATTTCCCTCGCTCCACTCTGGACCCTTCCTTGTCTGATTGAGTTGGACAACATTTATTTTTATATCCCTATGTGACTTTTTATTTATGGCAGTCATATATACTGTTTTGGAATAACTATTTTACTGATAAGTATCTATTCAAATAAAAATATCAGTAATTGTTAAATGGACATAATTTTAAAAATGCAGATGGCTGTCAAATGACTGATGTTCAGAAAAACAACAGTTGAAAGAGAACAGGCATTGGGCAAGGACCCTCAGTGTGAGGTCCTTCTCTGAGCTTTAATATCCCCTATGAAATAGAATTGAGAGTTCCTACCTATGGAGGGAACTGTGGCTGAGACAGGGAGAATGGTTTAGTTTTAACAAGTACTAAAGCAATTGAAACTGGTCTACACATCAGAAAAGAACCTCTCGCAGTGCAGTATTTCATCCATGAAGCAGTCAGGACTAGCCTTGTTCCTGTTCAAATGCATTAGAAATGAGACGAAGCTGAAAATATCCTTGCCTTTGGTCCAATAGTTTAACCTTGATTCTGCATAGTGGAGTAGCTTCTAAGACTTCAGTGAATGGAGTTGGTTGGTTTTCATTTTATTTATTTATTTATTTATTTATTTATTTATTTATTTATTTATTTTGGTCTTTTTTGAGACAGGGTCTCCCTGTACCCCCAGCTGTCCTGGAACTCACTATGTAGACCAGGCTGGGGTTTTCAGGTTTTTGCTAAAGAATATCCAAATTATTAAAATTAGCTGAGAAGTGAATCTTTGATTTAAAAAGTAGTGTGTTATGTCCGTACAAGAAAAGTAAGGCAAAATTGAAGAAGTCTTGGATTTTTACTAACCACTTTTATTATCTCATCTTCCAGTCTCCATCCTCATCTCTACTCAAGAGCATACATTAATTTTAGGAATCCTGATGACATCCTTCTGTTCAGAGATCGTTTTGATGGATATATCTTCATTGGCAATAAAGGTTAGTGAGTTTTAGCTAAATTCTCAAACATCTGAAATAAGGTCATAAATTTTTACTATTACTATTTCATGTGCTGATAAATATAACTGGTAAAACTATAAACCAAAGAATCCCAGAAGTTCTATATAGTAATGACAAGATTGCTTCATTGTTGGAGAGTGGTTTTTTATGTTAGTTTTCTGAATAAGTGAACCTCACCTTTGTCTTCAAAAACTAAATTATTTTACTATGGTTGATAATTATTTTCTGAAGCATATTGTATACTTATATCTAGACCTAGAGCCTTCTGAGTGGTTCAGCTTTTGTTTTTGTGAGTGTACGATTCAATAGTGTTAATTTTGTTCATCTTGTACGATCAATTGTCCTGACTCCCTATATCTTGCAAAACTGAAACTTGACCAGTTAAATCCTAACCCCCATCCTTCTCTCTCCCTCCTGGCAACTCCCATTTTATTTTTTGTTTCTGATATGAATTTGATTAGTCTGCATACTCTGTATTAGTGGAATCACATAGTATTTGTCATTGTGTCTGGCTTATTTCACTTAGCATAATGTTCTCCAGATTCATGTGTGTTGTAGTATATTGTAGAATTTCCTTCCTTTTTGAAGCTGACTAGCATTTCAGTATATATATATGTATGTATGTATGTTTTGCTTATACATTCATGTCAGTGGACACTTGGCTCAATTCCAGATTTTAGCTGTAGTAAACACTGTTTGATATACAAATACATCTCAAAGACTCTGCTTTCAGTTTGAATATATTCCAGAAGCAGAATTAGTAGATCATATGGCAGTTCTATTTTAAGGGACCACCCTTCTGTTTTCCATAGCAGCTGTACTATTTTGCATTCCCAACAGTCATGCACAAGAACTATAATTGTTCCACTTCCTCCCCAACACTTACTATTTTCTGTTTTGTTTTATTTTGAGTGTTTTCTTGTGTCATATTATAGCAGCTACCTAGTGGGCTTGGAAGTAATATTTCGTGGAATAATTCTGCTTTGTTTTGAGGTTTTGTTGTTTTGGTTTGGGTTAGATTGGGTTAATTTAGCTTTTTGAGGATGTCAGTACGCATTCCAAACTGGCCTCAGTTTTGAGTTCTTCCCACCTCAACCTCCCAATACTGGGATTTTAGGGTATATTCATTACCATACCCAGCTTCATCATAATTTAGATTTTGATTTCTCTAATGTATTTGAAGTTGAGCATCTTTTTATATGATTGTTGGCCATTCATAGATCATCTCTAGAGAGATATCTACTGTGGAGTCCTTTGTCATTTATTTATTTATTTAGGTTTTTATTTTTGCTTTGTTTTGTTTCTGACAGGGTCTCACTAGGCCAGGCTAACTCCAAGTTTGCAGCAGTCTTGCCCCTCCTAAGTGCTGGCACTGTGTAGGACCACCCAAATTTTTTTCCTTTTCTTTTTTTGTGTGTGTATGGTGGTAATTGTTGTTGCGTCGTAGTGGTTCTCTGTGCATTCTGGGTATTGGACTCTTACCCCATATATGAATATTTTCTCCCACTCTATAGGTTACTTTTTCACCCTGTTGATTGTGTTTTTTGATGCAGAGAAGTTTTTGATTTTGATGTAGTCCAGTTTATCCATTTTGACTTTAGTTGTCCATGCATTTGCATTTTTTGTCATCTAAGAACTCATTGAGAAACCCAAAACTACAGAGCTTTTTATAGTTTTCAGCCTTATGTTTTGAGTTAGTTTGTATATGTGACGTTGAGTAAAATTCTAACTTCATTCTTTTATATGTGACCGTCCACTTGTCTCAGCACCATTTGTTGAAGTATCTGGGTTTTTTCTGTTGAATGATCTTAACATTCTTGTTGAAAATCATTTTGACTATAAAGCTAGGTGTTTTCTGCCAGGCGTGGTGGTGCACGCCTTTAGTCCCAGCACTCGGGAGGCAGAGGCAGGTGGATCTCTGTGAGTTCAAGGCCAGCCTGGTCTACATAGTGAGTTCCAGGCCAGCTGGGGCTACAGGGAGACCCTGTCAAAAAAAGACAAAAATCAATCCATCAATCAATCAAGGTGTTTTTCTGGGACATCTGTTGTATTCCATTTATGTATTTGACTCATTTTGTGTCAGTACTGTGTTGTCTTGGTTACTGTAGCTTTGTAGTGTTTGGAATCAGGAGCCTGTAAGCTTTTGTTCTAGTTTGCCTTCACTTGCCAAGGTAAGAACTCAGGGCAGGAACCTGGAGGCAGGAGCTGGAGTACAGGCCATGGAGGAATGCTGCTTACTGGCTTGCTCCCCTGGCCTTTGCTCAACCTGCTTTCTTGTACAATATGGAACCACCTGCCTGGGGTGGCATCACCCACAGTGGGCTAGAACCTCCCACATTACTCAACAGTCAAGAAAACGCCCCCACAGATGTGGCTACAGGCCAGTCCAATGGAGGTAATTCCCCAATTGAGGCTCCCTCTACCCAGGTGTGTCAAGTTGACAACAGCTGTCTAATAGGCATCTAATAGACATCCTGGATACTTTTGGTGCAACAGGGACTTAGTATCTCTGCAATGTCCCTTCCAGTCCAATCTAATCCCGCCCCCACTTTTTTTTTTGACAGGGACTCATTATGAGCCCCAGTTGGCCTAGAACTCACTGTGTAGACCAGTTTGGTCTTGGACTCACAGAGATCCATCTACCTCTGCCTCTACCTCCCAAGTGCTGGGATTAAAGGCATGTGCCACCACATCTTGTATTTTTATTTTTGTATTTATTGTTTATTTTGTGTGTGTTTGTGTATATACACTCACATGGCACAGCATACCTGTGGAGATCAAAGGACAGTTTATGAGAGTCAGTTCTTTCCTCCTACTCTGTTGGTCTCGGGGATCTAACACAGGTCATCAGACTGGGTGACAAGTACCCCTACCCCCTGAGCTCTCTCACAGTCTTCCTCCTCCTTGAGTTTATTCTGTATAGCCAAGGCTCGTACAAAGTGTATTCTAGATAAGCTCAAGTTACAACCGGACAGTTACCATATTATTGACAAGATTAAAAATGATATTGCTCAGTGTGTTTAGTGCTGAGGTAAAAGTTTCTGTGTGTTGGTTAAGCCTTGACAGATTCTCCCAGTGACCATTTCTATGTGTGTTCATCTTTCTCTTTATATGACAACAAAGTTGGTTCCTACTGCTTTCATTATTCATTTTCTAGTTTGAAACAAACCTTGCATGGAAAACTACATAAATATATACGTGTGTGTGTGTGTGTATGTGTGTGTGTGTTTGTAATTTATCCTTTAATAATTTTTTTTGTGTGGGACTGGAGAGATGGCTCAGAGGTTAAAAGCACTGACTACTCTTGCAGAGAACTAGGGTTCGATTCCCAGCACCTGATTGGTAGCTACAAACTGTTCTTAACTCCAGTTCCAGGGGAACCTGAAGCCCTCTTCTGACCTCCACAGCATTGCATGACACGGGTGCACTCACATACATGCAGGCAATAATACACTCATACACATAAAATAAAAATTTTTTTTTTTTGTATGAGTGTTTTGCCTACATGTATATAAGTGTGCCTGGGCAAGCAATGCCCACAAGGCCAAAGGAGGGCGTTGGATTCCCCTGGAACTGGAGTTATGCACAGTTGTTGGCCCCCATGTTGGTGCTGGGAGCCAAACCTGGTTTCTCTGGAAGAGCAGTCAGTGTTCCTAACTGTTGAGGCATCTCCAGCCCAACTATATGTCTCTTGTAAGCAAAATTAATTTCCTTGAATGCATATGACAGGTCAATAGTTGAATTAACATCTTAAAATTAACTTTTATTTTATTATACTTTTATGTGTATGTGTGTGTGCCTGAATGTATCTATGTGCATCATGTGTGCATGGGTACCCATAGAGGCCAAAGATGGCATCTGATCCCCTGGAACTAGAATTACAGACTAGAGTTACAGTTGTGAGCCACTTAACATAGGTGTTGGTAACCACACCTGGGTCCTCTGCAAGAGCAGCAAGTGCTCTTAACTGCTGAGCTGTCTTAATAGTTAATTGTAACTAAAAAACTTGACTGAAGATATTCCATTCATGAATTATTTGGGAACGATGTAGAGTGGTTGGATTTATTGACCTGTAAGTTTCTCCCTTGTCAAAAGAGTACTTTCATAGTCTAAATGAGTCTCCTCTTGATGGGTCATTTCATGATGTGTCACTTCTCTGCCACCCACACTTCCTGAAGCATGTTTAGGTCTGGAGCTTACCTTTGTCATCATCATGCTCCATCTCCAAGCCAGTTAGGTCATTGTTTTCCAAAGCGAGTACAGTAGAATTTCACAATGATGTTTGGAATATGTCTCCATAAAAGGCCTGGAGTATCCTGCAGTGGTGGAGTTTGCTCCATTCCAGAAGATTGCCAAAAAGAAGCTGAAGAAAAAAGATGTCCGGACCGGAAGCATTGAAGACGGTAAGTGCTAGATGTCACCAGATTAAATGTGCTGATCAAATGTTATTATTTGCCTTTAGCTGGGGAGAGGGATGGATTGATTGATTGATTGATTGATTGATTGATTGATTGATTGATTGATGCTATTTTAAACTTACAGATCCAGAATATAAGCAGTTTCTAGAAACATACAGTTTGGAGGAAGAAAAAACCAGTGCCAGTCCTGAAATGCTTCTAGGGGAGATAGAAGCAAAAACAAGAGAACTCCTTGGTCTGTTTTGCTCATTTCTTTATTGAGATACTGATCGAATATGTATTTAATTCTCCTTTTTCACAATTGGGGTAGTTTCCTTTGGTTCCAGGCTTGGCAGAATCAAATGTTTTCTACTTTTGACAAAAGGGTGGCAAGAAGGGTAAGTAATTTTGAGCCCTTATTGATGAACACTGTGTTTTTAGGGGTCTTTATTTAATAATGGTGCTTCCAAAGATTGTGTCAGGAAGGAGCTTTTGTCACAAAGGTTGAATCTCTACAAAGCGCAGTCATGGATAAGCCTCAGGAGCCCATCTAGACAAGATATGTTGCCCGTACATGAAACTACTCTGCTGCTTCAGAAGAATAGCCAGCCTCCAGAAAGAGCTAACGAGCCAGTGTATAAACACAACCAGAGCATAGAATTTGGTCTGAATCCCTTTGGTCTTCTTTCAAAAGTGGTGTGTATTAGAAATTTTTGTCTCTGGTAGGAGGCCCCGGAAACTCACATGTAGACTTGAAACTCCTTTCTCACCAGGCACACTTAGTCTCAAACACAGTGGTATTGCCCCGTTTCTACTGGTCTCACTCAGCGTTAAACCTCTCCTCAAGGCCTTGAGCTCCTTCCTAAGGATGCGCCCTGCTCACCTATCAAGACTTGTGTAATGTGATAGTTAAAATTGATTTTTTAGTTTCCACATAAATTCTCTGTTCAGTTCCTTTTCCACTTCCCCAGTAAAACTACATTTTCATCTTTATAGTTGCAGAAAAGTTTAGGAATTGAGCATATGATGAATAGCCAGGCTAGAGGCTGGGCCTTTATAGAGTAGAATGTAAGCTTGTGTGGTTGAAGAGGCATAAGGAACACTAGTGTCAGGGCCTGGATTCCTTTCAGGGAGTGTCATGGGCTCATTCATTTGTTCACATCATTGCTCCATCCACCGGTGTGTAAAGAAGCAAGGCACTGGCTGGTGACTCTTTTTCCCAAGGAACGTTTTCTTGTACAAGGCTCACCATATGCTTTGGAGATCGGATATCTGGGGGTACAGTGGGGTTGATGGGTTAGTATGGAAGCTGAGGGGCAGAAAAACTAAAGACCAGAGGTTTAAGATGAGCAGATTGTTGATTGTGGTACCTGTACATACATAGAGAAGAATGGAGAAAGAGCATTGGGGACAAAAATTGAAATTTGACTTCTTTCAAGTCATGTTAAATTTATGAAGCATTAGAAAAGGGAAATTATATGATATTTTTAGAACTCACCTTCTGACCCCCTCCTTCATCTTTATTGCTCTATTTAAGTATACTACAGGGCCTTTTTGAGACATCCGCTTTGTGGGTTAGATTCCATTGCATTCCTGCATAGGGCCTCTGTCATCATCATCTCAGCCTGCAGCACCTTGCATAGTGCCCATGATACAGTCCGTAGTGCTTACATATGGATCACAGTAGTGCCAGGGACTCGGGCTCCACTATCCCTAATGTGAGAAGTTCGTTCATTCCAGGTCTAGACTGTGGAGTCTTTTTCTGTCTCTTAAGTTTGAATCTTCAGGTAATTCATGACAGTTGACAATTTTTCTTTGCTTTGACCTTCCATAGAGTCTTAAGAACAAGTCTAAGAAGTGAGAGAATAGAATCGTAATAAACTCGTATTGGCAGGAGTTCTGACAGTGTTAAGCTATGTCTTTGGAACAGTCAGACCTGGGGTTAGCTCTCAGGCTCTGTAGCCTCAGCAAGCCTTAGCACCATGCTTAGCCTCATAGATTTTGTAATATAGTAAGTAGGGGATGAGAGGGAGGTATCTCCGTATTACTAAACTTTTTCTTGGGAGTCCACTTGTTTTAATAATCAGATAGTCAAAGTGTCCCTTTAGAATAAATCCATTTCTACCAGGCTAGTTACAGCCACAGCCACAGCCCCTGCCATAAAGTATGGGTGTCTGCCCATACCTATTCTTCTTAAGGCTAGGTACCATTGAATCTGTCAAGTCAGTGTGTCAAGGAGCCTTAGTTTTTTGTTTTGTGGTTTTTTTTTTTTTTTTTTTTGGTTTTTTTGAGACATCTCCCTGTAGCCCTAGCTGGCCTGGATTCACTATGGAGAGCAGGCTGGCCTCAAACCTCTGCCCCCCCAGTGCTGGGACTAAAGGCATGCGCCACCACGCCTGGCACGAGTTTTGTTTAATATGCTTTCAAGTGTTTGCAGACACTTCCTTTGAATGGGTAATTCACTTATATGGCTCAAAACTAAAAATATATACAAAGGTATATATCTCCCCTTTTCCTGGCTTTTGTCTGTCCAGTTTCCCGGTCTTTGTGAGACAGAGTCTCCCTGTAGCCTCAGCTGGCCTGGACTTGCTATGTAGACCAGGCTGACCTTGAGCTCACAGAGATCTACCTGCCTCTGCATCCTGAGTGCTAGGATTAAAGGTATGTGCCACCACACTCAGCAGGATGCTTAGCTTTAATTTAGAGAACCCTGTCCAGGGACTTTCCCCACAAATTTTGACTAGTTGCTGAACCTCAGTCCTTGGTATCTCCAAGGATTCTTCCCAGCTCCATTTTGTGTTAAAGATCTATTGAGCAGACTCAGACTGTCCCCACCTTCTCACCGTGTCCTCAAATTTAGGGACTGTGGAACCCTTCCATTCTTGAGCTGGTGTCTCTGGTGGCACCTGTAGGCCTGTAGCAAGCTTTGGGTACCTGACATTCAGATGACAAATGAGAGGTGAGCAATAGGAAAGGTGAGGTTCAAGGTGGAGTCCATGGACATGTTCTTTAGACAAGTGAAATGGATGCCTTGTTAGCCAGCGGTGCAATGTGGAATCATTTTCTAACTTGTAGTTTAGTTTGTGTCATCATTTTGATTTTATTAAGTGTAAACAGATTGAAAATACCTTATCTATAATTGCTAGGACCAAAAATGTTCAGAACTTAGAATTTTTTTTTTTTTTGGTCTTTGGAATATTTGTATGTACATAATGATATGGAACCAAGCTAAAACTTAAAATTTGTGTTTTGTGCGTACTTTAAACATATAATCTGAAGGCCGTTTATATATTTGTAGCACACCTGTAGTTTAACTTCTTGTATTAAAAGTATTTTTTATTATTTTTATTTTATGTGTATGAATGTATTGCCTGCACGTATCTAAGTTTACACATGTCATGCAATGCCTGTGGAAGTCAGAAGAGGGCATCGGATCCCCTAGAACTGGAGTTACGGACTGTTGTTAGCTGTGATGTGTATGCTGGGATTTGAACCTGGGTCCTCTGAAAGAGCAGCCAATGCACTTAACCACTAAGCCATCTCTCCAGCCTCTAGTTTGACTTCTTGACCCATAAAGTCACATGTAGAATTTTCCGCTTGTGGTGTTATAGCAGTGCTCAAAACTTTGAACCTAGGGGCATTTCAGATTTTGGAATTGTGGGTTAGAGTGGCTTGTATTCCAAGCAATAAAAAGAATAAACATTACTTCAAACCAGTGCCTAAAAAGTAGAAAAAGAAATTCCCCAAATATGTATGGAATCAAAGTGAATATATAAATGTGTTATTTAATGGTTTCTGTGGAAGTTTGAAGAGATGTTAGTAACATTTGGGAAACTTAAGACGTCACACTCTTGTTACTTTTATTGCCAACTATGTGAGCAATATTTTATGGCTCTTTTAAGGATCACGAATGATGAGTCTTTTACTCCTATGGTGTAAGTACGGGTAAGGTGCCCATGCTCCTGTTACTTACCCCTCACCCGTGATCCTATAAGCAACCCTGATAAATTCATTGAGTCACCAAAAAAACAAAATAAAACAAACAGACATGGAAGTAGAAGGGGGACTAGTTGGAAAGGAGAGAGGGGCTCAGCAGGAGTGGGAGGGGCAAGAGGGGTAAGGGGGGGAATATGATGAGAATGCATGATGTACATGTATGAAAATGTCATAATGAAACCCGTTATGTATAATTGATACATGCTATTAAGCTTAACAGAATTATCAGTACCTCCAAATTACTTGTATTTGTAGGAATAGAATAAGAATGCTTCTGGGTACAGTGCATGCTCATATAAATGTTAATAATATTCTCCCCCTAATTTTTTTAATAGTAAATTGAAAACAAGTGTTTAAAACAAACCTCAGTTCAGAAGTTACCTGTAACACATTACAATTTTGTTCTTTAGCCAGAAGAACCACACCTCTTTTGGAATATATTAAAAATAGAAAATTAGAAAAGCAGGTAGGTGACATTTTACCTGGTAAATACCCATCCAGTGTCTGTTTCCATACACAAAATTTATACATGTACTCGGCTATACCCTTAGAGAATTCGAGAAGAAAAGCGAGAAGAACGAAGGAGGAGGGAGTTAGAGAAGAAGCGTTTGCGGGAAGAAGACAAAAGGAAAAGAAGAGAAGAGGAAAGATGCAAAAGGAAAGAAGCGGATAAACAAAAGAAAACTGAGAAAGAAGTAAGGATTAAGGTAATTTTGAGGAAACGTTCCTTTCTAAAAATAGTTCTGTTATGCTAATTATGCCTTTAGGGTAATTTAGCTCCTAGGTCCTTTTATCCATTCTACAGTAGCTTTCAGACTGTGTTCCTCGGAGCCTTGGGTGGAAGGCTTGAGACTGGCCTCCTGATGTGAGATGAGTCACAGCACTCTAAAGAGCCAGCTGAAAAACACACATCTGAGAACCACCTGCTCAGCTTCTCTGTTACCTCAGAACTGGGGCTTGGCATTCTCTGGAGCAGCAGCAGAAACAGGATACACACCAATTGGTGTGGTTCACACATTTGATTACAGCTCCTGGTGCTTCGCTTTATATTGTCAGTTTCATCAAAGGACTTAACAGATTTGTGTGTGTGTGTGTGTGTGTGTGTGTGTGTGCGCCTGTGAATTTGTTGGGTAAGTGTGGGTGTATGTGCCATTGTGCATATGTGGAGGTCAAAACACAAAATTATGGAGTCAGTTCTCTCCTTCCACCTTTACAAGGATCCCACTCAGGTTTCTGGGTTTACACATGGAGTGCTTTAACCCACCAAGCTAGCCTATAAGTGACTTAATTGGATGTATTTTTACTGTGATATAAAATACATCCACTTTTATGAGTGAGGACTAAATTTTGAGAAGTGTGCCTTCTACTATTACACAAAGTGCTTAAATTTCAGAAAACAAGCCACACAGAGACCTGGGGAAAGGACTAAGTATAGATATCAAATTAAATACATCATTGCAATATACTAATTGTTTCAAGAAAAAAAAAAAATGGGGGCTGGAGAAATGGCTCAGTGATTAAGAGCTCTGGCCGCTCTTGCAGAGGACACAGGTTCAGTTCCCAGCACCTACATGGTGGCTAACAACCATCTGAGACTCCAGTTCCAAGGGAGTCTGATGCCCTCTCCTGGCCTCCATGGACATTATACACTTTCATACATACAGTCATGACACACACATAAATAAAAATAAATAAAAAATTTAAAAGACTTTAGGGACTTGGGAAAAAAAAGAAAAAAATATTTGAAAACTGTAACCTGTTTTCAAAGTCAGCAATATAACACAACCGTGAAAAAAGTGATTTTTTTTCTTCTTACAAAAGTAATCCTTGTTTGTTCTGTAAAAACTAGAACCCATAGCTGAAAAACAATCACCTGTTCTACACTGAGAGAGATCTTGTCCACATAGTGTTGCAGAGTCCTTGGATGGTTTCTGTGTGCACCTAGCTATATCCCATATTGGCTACTTTTGTATAGTTGTGACTAAATACTTGAGATAAAAAAAGGAAAGAAGGATTTATTTGGGGTTATAGTCTCAGATTCCAGTACTCCGTGGCTTCACTGATTCTGGGCCCATGGTAAAGCACAGCCTCATGGCAGTAGGAGCATGTGGCTGAGGCAGTTCACCTCATGATGAACAGGAAGTAGATAAGAAATACAAGATACAGCCTCCAAGGACATACCCCTAGTGACCACCTTCATCTAGCTAGGCTCCATCTTGTTTTCACAACTTCCCAAAATGGTACAACCAACTGAGGACCAGTTGTGACATGTGAATCTTGGGAAGCATTTAACATTGTAACATTCTGCTCCTGGCCTTCAGTGACTCAAGGCCATCTCATTAGGCAAAATGCATTTAGTTCATCTCCAAGAATCTCCAAATTTTTAACGGTTCCTGTATTGTCCAAAAATCCAAATTCATAGTTATATCTAAGACTCAAGGCAAATGCTTAGTTTCTGAAAAATAAATTATGTACTTTCAATATACAATAGTTGGGACTGGAGAGATGGCTCAGTGGTTAAGAGCACTGGTTGTTCTTGCAGAAGACCTGGGTTTGAATCCTAGCACCCACATGACAGCTAACAACCATTTGTAACTCCAGTTCCAGGGGATCTGACACCCTCTTCTCTCCTCCATTGACACTGTACAACACATGGGTACGTTTAACACACATGCAGGCATTAAATAAAAATAAATAAATCAAAAATTTTTTAATATATACACCAGTACAGAGGGGCCAGCAAGATGGTTCAGTGGATTGGAGGCACTTTAATGCACAAGCCTGGCAACCTGTGTTTGATTCCCAGGAGCCACATAAAGGTGGTGTTGCAGGCCTAGAACAGAGATGAACAGGACCCCCAAAGGCTAAAACATGGAACAGTTTATTGTCCAGTACAGTGACCTGAGAGATATTTCTCTAAAGCAGGGCCCTGAACAAAGGAAAGCTGAGCCTTTTTACCCCACGGACAGTTCATCTTTTTTCCCCATATATCCTGATTGGGTGTTCTGTGCTATAAGGTCATGACAGGTAGAACTGTGTAAGTGTACACAGGCACAGACCATGCTGCATTTGTTTTTCTTTGTTCTCCTGGGCAAGTTCCTGACGTGTTTCCCCCCTTTGATGTTCTCACTCTCCTTAGGGTCAGAGAGCATCATCTTGGTTTAGGAGTTGTAGATGAGAAAACAAACATATAATGTGAAAAATTACAATTGACATGTTAAGAAACTAATAACATCTGATCTGGGTGCCTTTAGTCCCAGCACTCAGGAGGCAGAGGCAGGCAGATCTCAGTGAGTTCAGGGCCAGCCTGGTCTACATAGTGAGTCCAGGCCAGCTGGGGCTACAGGGAGACCCTGTCTCAAAAAAGAACAAATAATAATAATAATAATAATAATAACATCAAGGTATCATACATTAGTAATATTAGATTGATATTTGTATTATTGACCATTAGAATGCAGTGTTTTTTAAATCTACAGTTACTTGGTTTTTAGTTTTAAATTTATTTGCAGCTCTCTTGGGGACTCTCATAGAGTCACCATGGACATTAAAGGACCCAGATAATGATATCTTCACCCTGGGATTCCCTTCACTACAAGGAGGATACTTTGAAGGCCAGGGTAAAGAATATATTCAGTTAAACCAGTGTACAGGTCTGATACCAGTCAGGTGGTAGATTTGAGTAAAGCTTCCCTACCCACAGTGCCATCGGATATTGGTTTGAGAGACAGAGTACAGATAATTGTTATTTGCCCCTTCATTATTTGAGGCATTCAGGACATGGGCTTAGGCTTTACAGTCCCCCATAGAGCTAGAGAATCCATTTCCCTGTCTTGTGAGACATTAGGAGTGATTTGCCCTCCTTGCTGAGGTTCCCATGGCCTGGGCTGGCCTGTATAGCTGGGAACAGGAGCAACAGACTCTGGCAGGCCTTCTTTTCCCATGAATCCTTATAACAGGGCTAGCATGCAATTTACTCTGAGGTCTGTTCTAGTCAAGAGAAAGGGTACTCTTGAGCCTGGGGATGTCCGCCACACAAGCATAACAGTTACTCTTGTTGAATGTGTATACTATAAATTTAACCCATTTTTCCCCATGTGTTTAATTTGGGAGTGGGGAGGGTAATTTAGACTAGAGAGAGAGTTTCTCCCCAATGATAAAATCTGAGAAATAGAAGAAAAGTTTACATTTCAGAGTTATCACATTACTAAAATGACCTTGAAGTAAAGAAATGCTCCCTGCAAACAAAAAAAGGCAGACAGAGGCACATACTGAGGCAAAGATGTTTACGTGTTAACCTTACAATGACAGTTTTAGATAACAGGAGACATTAAAAGAACTGCTTTGGGGGTATTTTGCCCAGTGTTTGAAAATGTAGCCATGGCAGCTTTCCGATATGCTTGGGGGTGTGGTTTGTTCCCAGGAAGCAAGCCAGTAGGGAACATGATTCTGTCCCCATTTGTAAATAAGAAATTAAAATTCTGAGAGATCTCTGGAGGAACACCTGATCTTCCTAGAGTTTCCCAGTCCAATATCCACAGAGGTGGCTCCAGCTCCTGATGGCAGCAAATGTTGTGACCCAGTTGCTCTGTGGGGATCAGTTTCCAGAGAGGGACTGATTTCGTGCCTACCCACATCTGAGATACAGGTCCCTGACTGTTTCACTTGTACTCCAGATGTTTCTGATGTCTGCATTCCTAAAGATACATTAATTCCCTTTTAACCCTATTTGTAAACTGACAGATCGGCAGGGGAAGTACCTCCTATTCAGAGTGCTCTAAACTAAATAGATCTCTCCTCCCGGGCAGAGAGGGGAACCCCAGTGCATCTCACACAACAGCCTGAACAACTGACTAGCTAGCAGGAAGGTACTGGCCTCTGGGCCAGACAGGATTTTTAAAAGTTCCAGTTAGCCAAAGCAGACAGAGGAGGTGTACAATACCCAAGTTGAAACAGCAAGGGTAGAGGTTCCTTTAATGTTGAGTCCCCCTTGTTCTTGTGTTCATTTCCTAATCTGTTGGTGCGCACTGAACATCTTGAGCTAGATAGGAATAAAGCATGAGAAGCACATATGTGACTTTTTCTTTGAAGGAGGGTTATCAGGCTACCTGAGTTAGAAAAGACACAATTTATCATATGTAATCCTGGATTGACTACTAACTTGTAATCTAGAGAATAAGGAGCGCAGAACATAACAGCATACCTAATAGAACCTGGAAAGAGTTGTCAGAAGGCTTAAAGGAGGCTCGGGTGGAAAGGATTCTGTTTGTCTCTGGATGTTATAGCTGCCTGTTTGGCAGTAGCTGGTCTAGCATTTGGAAGTCTATCTTTTGGGTCAGGGTTGTTTTATTTACTTATTTTTTTACTTTGTAGTCCTAGGAATTGAATCCAGAGCCTTATACATACTAGGCAAGTACTGAGCCACACCCACAGGCTGCATGAACTCCTAACCATCTTCCTGCGTCACCTTCTTGAGTGCTGGGATTGTGGGCATTAACCTCCACACACAGCTTCAGAATAATTATCCATTAACCAAACAGCATTCTAGTGCTTTTTTAGCCTGCATCTCCAAACTTCTCCAAATTCCTCCCACAAATAAATTTCAAACAAGTATAGAGCAGATGGTCGGTTATAGCAGCAATGCAGCAATCCCATGTTCTGGTTCCTTTTTTTTTTTTTTTTTTTTTTTTTTTTTTTTTTTTATTTATGTGGCCAAGGCCAAAATACCTGAGAGGGGAAGAGGATTTATTTTGCCTCATAGCTTCAGAGATTTCATTCCATTGATTCTGGGCCTGTAACCTGGCAGAACATCAGGATGTGGGTGACTGAAGCTGTTCACCTCAATACAGACAGGAAATAGAGGAAAGAGACAGGGCAAGCTATAGTTTCCAAGGACCTGTCCTCCTAAGGTTTGTGTAACCTTCCAAAATAACACCAGGAGCTAGAGACCAAGCATTTAACATACAAACTTTGGGTAACATTTTATACTCAAGCTGTAACAATGACTGTGAAAGATTGTCTTGCATAGTGACTTTTGTAAAAGGCACTTTAATGTTGGCACAAGGACAAAAATCACCTAACATGTTTCTCAGAATTTGGCTCCATTATTAATGCTCTGTGGTGTGTGTGTGTGTGTACATACTCACATGTAAATCAAAATTGGATCATAGTGCACATTCTGTTTTATAGTGTTCTTTTATTTGTTATTTTGGACATCATTATTTTAACAATCCTACATAATTTTTCATTACAAGGATTTCATTGATAATGTATATACTGAACCCAGAACAGTTGGTTTTGGACCTGCAACAATTTTTTTTAATGTTTATTTTATGTATATGAGTGTTTCCTACATGTATGTAAGTGCACCACATGTGTACACTGCCCACAGAGGCCAGAAGAGGGCGTCAGAACCCCTAAAACTGGAGTTACAGCTGTTAGCCACCATGTGGGTGCTGGGAATTGAACCCAGGTCCTCTGGAAGAAAAGCAAGTGTTCTTAACAGCTAAGCCATCTCTTGAGCCCAGTTTGGGTTTTGGGGACAGGGTCTCACAAAGCTCAGACTGGCCTCCAACTGGCTATGTAGCTAAGGATGACTTTGAAATACTGATGTTCCTGCCTCCACCCATCCCCCAAGTACTATTACAGTCATACCTACGGCACTAGTTTTCCTAAAAGATGTTTTCAGCAGGCCTTTCACCAGCCAGCCGCTCTGCCTTGAATGGGCTCTTCACCTCCACCCCATCTTTACTTTAGGCTTCTATTACTTACTGGCTACTTGCCCTCAGATTTTACCTTAAATATGTTTTCAGAGAGGATCTTGAATCAGAGGACTGTAGTGTTTTCACATGTGGTTCTTTATGGAGCCTTCATAACAATCCAAGGAAGGTGTACCGTTTTCATAAATGTACAGAAGAGAATAGACTTAAGTTATCCAAAATCATACAATAAGTAGCCGTTAAAATTTACTCGTCTTTCTATAAATCTAGATCTTCTACAAGAAAAGCAAGTGTTCTTAACCACTGAGCCATCCCTCCAGCCCCCTGGACCTGTAACAATTCTTTTGCTATTCAAACATTTGGGCTCAATTTTGGTACATATTTTTAATTGTCTAGCCACTTCTTTTATAATATGCTCTTCTAATAACATTACATTTTCTCAGCTTCTTAAGAAACTAGAAAAGGGAGAAGAACCAACCACAGAGAAAACAAAAGAAAGAGGTGAGGAGGTTGGTACTGGAGATGAAAAGCAGGAAACCTGTGTGACTTTGAAAGCCAGACCCCTGAAAAGCCTGCTGGAGACAGCCGGAGAGAAGTGAGCATGCTCTTATTCCTATCACCGCCCCACAGAATGGAGTCCTAGCATCAGTACCAGTGTATACACTCACATTGTCCTTGGATTCTGAGCATTTTGCCAGAATATGCTAGCATGTGCTTGTTTTCTGTTGGCCATGCCAGGAGCTTAGTAAACATGAGGTCTGCAGTCTCAAGGCTCTTTTCAATCAGGGAAGTTTCCTCTGTTACCTCCTGAACTGTTGCCTCTCGGTCCTCTCCCTTTTCCTCCCTGAGACTTCCTTCCTGGACTTACCTTCCTGCATGTCTGTCTCCAGGATCTGCCTTCCCACTCTTTCTTCCTGTATAATTTTTATCTGTTTATTGTTTTCCTCCCTGTTTTGAGATTTCCCACCCATTTTTCTTCCTGATCTTAGTATAGTTGATCTGTAATTAAATTTCAGTTATCTACAACTACAGATTTCTACGTCTCATCTTTCAGGGTTGGTCCGTTTTGTTTTGTGGTAGGAGCAATAGACCTCAAGTGTAACACTGTCCTTAGTTCTGTCTTCTGTTGGTTTTTCCCTTTTTTTTAAGGTTGGTTTTTTTAAATATTATTTTTATTCTGTGTGTATGTGTGTGAGTGCACCCATATCATGCAGAAGAGGATGTCAGATTCCCCTGGAACTGGAGCTAAGGACAGTTGTTAGCATGTGTGTGCTGGGAATCAAACCCGGGTCCTCTGCGAGAGCAACCAATGTTCTTAACCACTGAGCCATCTCTCCAGCACCTTTGCCACTTTGTTTTCCTCTGCCTGCTCCTGTCATGGCTCTGTGGAAGGAGCTTAGCCATGAAGCAAGCATACATGGCCCCTCGCTCTCACCACCCTATCTGCCTCATACAGCCAGCCTTGCCCAACACAACTTCTGCCACTTGTCACATTATCAACTCCAATCTTTACCACTGTGGTTTGTATTATGGTAGTCTAGTATCATTATTTATGGCACAGTAGTACCCTGTTACTATCTTTTGGCATGGAGTCCTCACTGTCCCCATGCCACCCATATGAATAAGCCACAGAGAGTATGGGAGCTTGTGCCCGTGGCTCAAGCGGGCAAAGACTTCAAGAACCAAATGAACCAAGCAGCCATTTGATTGTTCGCTATTCATTTAACATTTTGATATGCATAAATTAACCCATCTGGCATTACTAAACTTCAGTTAATTTGGCTGTGCTTAAAACAGAAATAAAACTGTCAGGGCTGCATCATAGTAGATAAGTGTATGGTCACCTAGGAATGCTCTAGTTTAGCTCTAAAATGGAGATTCCATTTACTTTGGAGAATTATTGAGAATTGGGGCAAATATGTATAAAATACCTTACTTAGCATAGCATTATTATGTATTTGTCATTCAAGTCTACTGGGAGATTTTTTTTGTTATTCATCTTTTCAGTGCTTTTTGTTGGGTACTTGCTGTGAACCCATTGCTCTGTACTGAAGCAATGGGTTTAGTTCTTATATTCCTCATTCAGAGTCTAGAAGGAAGATAGGTAATCAACAAACCATTTACATGCAGTTAATCATTTGTATTGACTCACAGGTTACAGGATGGCAGTGATAAAGAGCAAAGGGACAAAAGATTTCAAGAGAATGAATCTGAAACACCAAGATGTCACCCAGATGGTTGCACAAAGCACAGCATTCACTCTGGGTTTGCCAGGTTTTCCAGAAGGAATGAAGGCAAGCCAAAGTGGGGGAAGGGATCTACTCAAGATAGAGGGAAGAAGGGGAGCCAGGATGGGGGAGTCGCTGTGGAGATGGCAGAGAGAAAGAGTGGGGAGCAGAAGGAGGGTGGCAGCATGGGACTCAGAAAGGAGCACCTGGGAAACAAGGTTCTGTAGTCCATCGGGCCTACTCCCTGTCTGCACCAAGAATACATGGCTGATTTTTTCCAAACAGAAACTCTTTTATTAAGCCAGAAGAGAAAAATCTGCCTAGTGTGTATAGGTCCAAGGTTGTGCTCCACCTGTGTTATAGGTCACACACCCATGTGGCCTTACTCTGAAAGTCAGTGTCCCCTAGAGCATTCTTGCTCACCTTGTGTACAGTGAACTTAGAAATAAATACAGAATAAAACCTACCATCACCTCTGAAAGAAGTAAGTTGCTTTTTACCAGGGAAAAAAATTGTCTAGCACAGAACTAAAACCTTTACATCATTTATTTGGGAATAACATTGTGAAGTACATCCTTAAGATGGTAAGGAAAACAGCATCATATGGAACTTTCTTTGATGATGTTTGCTATAGTCACATGGATTATGAATCAGTTCTGGTCAGGCATGAATACAGCGATGGGGTTCCTTTGAGCTCAGTGAAGAACTGGGTTTTTTAAAATGTTTATTTTATTTTATGTATAAGAGTGTATTGACTGCATGTGTATATGTGTACCTGTGTCATGCATTGCCCTCAGGGGTCAGAAGAAGGCATTCGATCCCCTGGAACTGAAGTTACAGACAGTTGTTAGCTGCCATGTGGATGCTGGAAATTGAACTCAAGTCCTCTGAAAGAGTGCTCTTAACAACTGAGCCATCTCTCCAGCCCCCAAGAGCTGTTTTTTCAGAAGTATGAAGTTCACTTTTGTTGGTTACATTTTCCCAGAGGAGCACTAAGGGTGGTACTAGTACTGGATCTAGGTCTAGACTGTTCACCACTTGAAAGCCAATATTTAGGAGCCAAGAGTTGAGAGGGAAAAGAATCAGATTTTTGAGGGCTAGCATGTTGGATGGGGGATCATCCTCAAAACCCTGTCGTAGGGAACTCCGGGAAAAATCTTCTGTCGGGAGGGGAGAGGCAGTGAAGTAGTGGGCAGGAGGCTCCTGCTGAGTGCGGTCTTTGTCATCTAATGCCATCTTTCTCTTGATTTTTTGCCCCCTGGCCAGAACATCTCAGTCAAACTTGATCTCCTGAACTAGTGTATATATATATATTCTCTTTAGACAGGTATATTACTTCACTGCAAATTAAGCTGCATCAAAATTTACATGTTTTGTATTAGTTGTTATATGGAATTGAAGATCTAGGAGGGTCCTTACATGTTCTGTTGTTCTCTGAAGGTAACCAGTTGTTCTGGATTCTGAAAATATATATAAAGAAAGAGTATTTTATCAGTTAACATCTTAATCAATTAATTGTGGCTTTTCTAGAATTTAGGAGGGCAAGCAAAGGGAAGGCACTCTGCCAAAGGACACCTCCCCTGGAGCGGCCAGTGTTCAGTGACACCTCACTCCTAGGGCCAGCCTTAATAGATGTGCTCATCAGGCCTAGCAGTTAATGTCCTGCCTCTGTGATTTGGGCATTTTAAGAATATGAATAAATGGAACATGCTGTATGTACTTTTGAGACTGACTCTCTGCACCTCTCAGTTCCTTCAGACCACTCAAAGTGCTGTGCACTGGTGATAGCCATGATTTTGTATGTATATTTACTTACTGTCTTTGTTTCTTGGTGATACCCATTTTGAATGTTTCCGGGAAAGGCCAGGTGACCTAGAAGAGGTGATTCACAACCTTTTTAGTGCCCCAGAGACTCCTGTGGTCACTGTAACGCAGGGGACACTGAGCATAGCCATGGTCTGTTTGAGAGGTGTGTTTACCTGACATTTCCCCTTTCAGCTGCCTCTGAGTAACAGGGTGTGTTTGGGGCATTCGGGTAACTTAGGCGTGATTCACCAGGACTGCATGCTGACCCTGATGTGTTGTTGAGAGACTGGACATAGTCCCTGCTTTCCCATGAGGCCAGGCAGTTGTGCTTTTTAGAAGGCTCAGACTATTTTCCATATATATATGCAAATGTCACCTTTGGGAGAATGAAGCTGGCCATATTGGCTCCAGTGCCCTCTCCCTACCTCAGGCTTTTTCCATTTTTACTGATTGGCCAGTAGAAACAAACTGAACCTCTGGAAGGACCTGCCCATAAAGCTGTTCTTGTGAGGTGGATACTGGGCAGGAAGCATCCTCTGATGATGTCGACTCTCCAGAAACAGGGTCTATCTCCCTCTGCTACTCCTTCAGAGCTGGCTGGCCTGCCCCAGAGATGTGCACTGTCCCAGGGTTGCTGTGATCTTGCCTTCAGAGACTTTATGCTTCTGACTGGTATGTCTTTGTGCCCTGAAGCAGTTAATTTTCAGGTGTTTTTTTGAGCCACATCTCTATTTATTCTATACCTCCGTTTGGTAACATGATGGGTTAGTACTCTCTGGCAAGGACAATTCGAGTTCCCCACTGCCAGGCACAAGATAGGAATACAGTTATCTCCATTCTATGAGCCCTCCCCCATCAGAATCCACAGGTGTTCAAGTCCCATACATACAACAGCATAGTGTTTGTACAGAACCAACACACATCTTCTCAGCTACTTTCAGTCTCTGAATTAATTATTCAAGGTAAATGCTATGTTAATAGCTATTTAATATGCTGTTATTATGTATTTTTAGGGAACAGTGATGAGAAAAAAAATATTTGTTCACTGCAGACATAATTTTTCCCAGATACTTTTTATCTGCAGTTGATTGAATCTATGGATGTGGAAACCTGCAGGTACAGAGGGAAGATTGTCACTCCCATAGAAATTATTTATTACATACACCAGTAGCTGAGTTCTCTAATATAAAAAAGCATCTCTGGGTGCCTACCTTGTTGGTTGCTAGCCTTAGGTTCACCTTAAGGCCTAAAGAGGCTACCTTGAGTTTTGTACCATGTCCCTTTTTGTGAGTTGCCCCCACAGTGTTCTCAAGTGGTGATATTTTCCCAGACCAACTTTATTTTCAAATTATTTTAAATATAGTATACTACCCATTACCCCAAAACTTTGTCCCAGAAATGAGTAAAATGTTAAGGAGTGGAGTGAGTTATCCTGAATATGATCATTTCACTGGAAATTACAGATGTTTTTAAGGGGATGCTCCAAGTGTTCATTGCAACCATGGGACTATAAAGAGATGGCCTCCTGTTTTGTTTTTTAGTAGTTCCTTAGCAAAGTGTT